CCCAGCCGCCCCAGCGCCCCCTGCGCCGCCCAGCCCCGCCCCCTCACCTTCCTACGGCGATCCCCGCCCAGCCCGCTTGCGCGCCTATGCCCTTCCGGTCGCGGGGGCCAATAGGAATGCGGCCTTATTACATAACCTTGAGGGGCGGGGCTAGCGGCGAGCCGTGCAGGGGACGTCGCCCTCGGTCCGGGCTCCTCTTCTCGGGCACGTGTTGTCTCGGCGGCGTCTGTCCCGGCGTTAGCGGCCGCGTGATTTCTGTCACGATTGTTCCAGTCGTCGGCTCATTGGGCTAGATCGGGCCTCTGTCCCCGCAGCCAGCCCCACCCACCTCCAGTCTGCGCGCCCGTCTCCGCGGCGCTCGTCCGCGCTCAACCGAGGCCCCGCGGCGTGGGTCCACGGCCGCCCGTTCCCGCCACCCGCGGCCGCAGTCCCCATGGAGCCCCGAGCCGCGCGGCCTTTGTTCTCTCACCAGCTGCCCTTTACATCACCCCACAGAAACCCCGCTTATTTACTAACCTGGGGTTTTCGGGGAAGTCGAGATTTAAATTAAGCCTGACATCCTATTAAAAATTGCTGCGCGGGCCTCTGGCCGGGGTAGGCTGACTGCGAACAATATATTGACTTGCTAGTATCTTCAGGAAAGAAATCATTTATTAGAGGCCACAGCAGCAAACTGCAAAGACCTTAGCAAAAGGGATGGCTGTTGTAATCTTGTAATTGTTTAGCTGTCGGAAACTGTTTTAGACATCGGCTTTATTCTTCAGCTCTAGCTTTTCTGTATCACTGGTTTCTAACTAGAAGCATTGACCACAAACAACAAGAAACGAAGTCTTGCATTTGAGGGTCTCACCAGGCCCACAGCCTGGAGTCCCTCAAGTTTGCTGTCCGTGTCCAGCAAGTAATTGATTGTGAGTATATCCCAAGTTACCTGGACGGGGATACAGTTAACAGATTGTTTAAATTATCCAGGAAGGAGTCGCTTTTGGGTGGGGTAAAATATCGGATGAAACGTGATGCAGTTACCTGGACGAGCAGTCCTCCCTCCTCATCCTCATTGCAGCTTCTCTCACCATGTTTTCACACTCTCCTCCATTGCAGTTTAAAGCACATGTTTAAATTTTGTTAAAATCTCTCCTGTACTGAGTTGTAAGCTCATTTTCTTTGCCATATATCCAGTGACTGCCAGGGTGTTAAACATGGTACGCTTAACACTGAAGTAATGAATATTGGCCCAATTGTTTCTTAAAAGACTACTTTTTTTGGTACCGGGAATAGAACTCACGACCTCGTACTTGTTAGGTATGCTGTGTGCTGCTGAGCTATATCCCCAGCGAAAGAGTACATTTTTGACATGTTACAAAGTTGAAGCTTGATCATTAATAGTCACCATAGCCATAACTGTGTTAATCCAGATGGTGGGAGATGAGGTCTTTAGAAGAATTTGAGAACTCTCAAAAGAGCCGTTTGTCTCGTCATAAATGACAGTGGGAACGGACAGTGAAATCTAGCGGCAAAGATAGGTCTTAACTGGAGAGGGACTTTTGCTGTGAAGTTGAATCAATAGGTCAGTTTTTAAAATTTGACCAAGATGAAATATCCGTGAGAAGCAGTGTAAGTTTTTGCATCCTTTCTCCTTTGACAGCTTGGGAAAAGCTGGACGGCTCTCTGAAAATTCAGATACACTGCTCATATAAGCTTATCCGTATAGGTAGGGTTTCTGAAACTCCATATTGCTGGGATTTGGGCTGGATAATGCTTTGCTCGGGGAGTCTGTCCTGCGGATTGTAGGGTGTTCAGCAATATCCCTGCCTTCCACTTGTTTGATACCAGTCGCATCTCATCTTCAGTTGTGACAATTAAAAAGGTCTTCAGATGTTGTCAGGCATTCCCTGGGGCCCCAGTCTCCTTTGGTTGAGCCACATAGGATATAGTGTAATGGTACCATTTTGTGATGGTCGGGTCATTTGAAATAGGAAGAAAAAGTGGGTAAGATTCAACATCTGTAAGGTGACAAACAGTAAATGAAAGGCAGGTGAAGTAGCTTTAGTACCAGTTGGGATACTGCTTATGTTATAGAAATGTGAGAGCAAATGACATACAAGCTTCTTAAAAGGAGTTTTGCACACACTTCTGGTTTTAACTGTGAATTCTACTGTATTCTACTGACTTTTCCTCTTCTGACTTTGGACTACTCTAGGTTAATATGTAATGAGCACTTACCTGTCCTCTATCCAAAATCACAATCAGATTAAAACACTTCTCTGAAGACCTGAAAGGCTCATTTATTTGTATTTATCTAGGATTTTCCATGGTGAAAGAGCTGGTGAAAAATCAATTCATTATTTCCCAAATAGACTGTTCTGAATGACTTTTTCCAATTGATATGTGGCAAGTAGGTTAATATATAAAGGTAGTAAAGAGTTCTGCTTGGTGGTTTATTAGAGAACAAAAGAGACGAGATCCAGTCCCTGTAGAACTAGGGAAGAATAAGATCAATAATGACAATAATAAACTTAAAAAATGTTTTTCTTTGCTGACTCTTATTCTTTTACTCAATTTGTACTTGTGATTTCCTGGAGCTGCAACCTAGATCCTCATGTCTTCTCTGTACTCTTTTCTTAGCAGCAATTTCATTTACTGTTATGGCCCTCCATATCAAACTGCAGGTGACCCCACATTTATATCTGTAGTTCTGACCTCTGTTCTCATTTCTGTATTCACTTGGCCACATGCCTCCCACTTGTCTTCATTTTGATGTTTAATAGACATTTTACATTTAATACCATATCGTACTAACTCTGGGAAACCATTGGTTGTAAGTCCTATTTATGTCCACTAAGATAAAGGAAATACTGCCAAGTGACTTATGTTATCATGCTAAAATGCTCGTGGTTGTAAGATACATCTTGATTTCAGAGAGGTCAAAATAGTTTTGAAAAATTGTGATTTTTAAAAGTAGCATCAAAAAGTAAAATACTTAGCAATAGACGGACTTACAAGGAGAAATGTAGACTTACATTCTGGTTCCTAAACAACATATATAAAAGAAATTAAAGCTTAAACAAATGGAA